TTTTTTGACCCGGAAGCCTCCGCAGACTCATTCAACCCTGTTGCCTTTCGTTTTTTGGCCATTGTTAGTCCCTGTTTCTAACAATCTAACAATCATAACAGTGAAGAAGAAGCAGATAGAAAGATATCGAGATTAACCAATGAATCTGGTATACCGTGTACTGGCCGCTGCTCTCCCTCGAGAAGGAGAGCATCGTAAAATTAATCTCTCTATCTCGCCTCTATTCTCTCAAAGCCTTTGGGTTTCCATAAGTTAGATTCATTTTATAGGAGAAGTTGGCTAACTTATGGATTACAAAGAAGCTAATGGGCTGATATACATTTGTGTCCCATGTTACACATTTAATTAATAATTACACAAATACAAAGATATTTAATTAGATTGGACACCATAAAATATTCCTAACAATCTCCCCCTTGGTGTTCAATCGTGTTGAATCATCATTGTAGCGCAAATATCTCTGTCTTTGTATTTATTCAACAATGTAGAGGAGAGCGTAGATAAAATCCGTTGAGTTGCTCCTCTTCTTCAGTGTAGCTCAGCTTCCTTTGGCTTGCTTGTAAACCTTGCCTTTAGAATGAAGTCCGAAGGTGCCTCTAGAATGAATGTTCTGATGATTTCCAGGCGCGCATTGGATCCATCTTCAGTACAAGAGTTTCTGACCATTGTCTCCTCCACAATGTAGTCTTTTTTACTATTTGAAATGAATTCTTTTGAGGAGAACTTGTCGGTGGCACGACGGAAAATGATGGTTGACTTGTGAGCGTAGCTGACCATTTGATTTGAATCTGGTTTGGCATTTGAGGTGTAGAGATAGAACATGATTTGTTGAAGGAGAGAAGTGTCCCAGAATGATTTGTTGCGAGTTAACCGCATGTGGACCACTCTCCCCCTCATGGCGATCCGATGAATCGGAGCGTCATGCCTTTAAATATTCTTTTATTCTGGAAAACAAAACAGAAAAGCAAAAAGAAAGTTATAGTGACAAAAATCGGATACACTGAAGTGTTCCGTTAACACAACATCAATGTAAACACTGATGTGTGGCCTGTATAAAATGATAGAAACATTGAAGCTCTAACAGGACTTCCAACCAATCACTATGGTTGTTGTGGAATGATCATCAAGATCAGCATTAAGAAACATGTAGCCCCCCCCCCCCCCCCCCGAGGTCATGAGGACACTCGTTATCATCACTATAGAGATAAACTCTAAAGCAATGACCTGAAAATGTTGATGATTCTTATGTTGCAATGGCAGTACTTCCTTCCAATCATTGGTCTACATCTGTAATAGATGAGCCCTATGGAAGTTCTCGCGGGTCATGAAGACCTGCAACTGACTCTAAAAGTGCGTCTGTGTCCTAGAAAAATCAAAACATTTGGGAGTGGGGTAACTAGACACGACGTGATCAATGAAAGTTCAGTGGCATGAGGTTGAGGCCACTGTAGTCAGTATCACTTGCCTCGGAAGGAGACAATAATGAGAGACGAGGTTCCCTGTGAAATTTGATTAAACACATGTCTGTTGGGAGACAAGTGAGTGGTCTTGGGTAGGGTTAAGTATGCACTGCTGGACAAGATGCAGTGACTTCTACCCGGTATCTGAATAAATTCAGTCCTGAACCTATGGGGATTGTCCAGAGTATTTGAGTGGCTAGGAGTAAATGTTCAATTGAAAGCAGACAGTTGAGGAAGCAAACTTATCATTGATTGTTGTTTTCTTGCTCACTTGAGCCTTCTGATTCCTAACGCTCATAATGTTCACTCTCTCACTTACTCACTCACTTACTCACTCACTCACTCTCGACTTTGTCCCTTGGGTAGGCTTAGTTGGGTTTACTAAACCATAGAGACATGATCGCTCATTGTTTTTTTTATTTTCTCTCTGTACTCCCCCTAACTGGAGCACTCGGTATGCTATGTCATTGTTAGACACTGGGGAACATTGAACACTCCCCTAAAATGTTGCATCCTTTTAGAGATTCCTTGCTTTGTCGGTGTAAGGCGCCAGAAGGAGAAAACTGAAACTCCCCCTCAGAATGTGCAAGGATTGATTGCTCACAGCTTGTCATACTCGTCATGTGTGTGGAGCAATCTGAACACGTACCACACATGATGGTTTCCCTTGAGCTCATCATCTTGAATTTCAGCATATTGATGATCACACAATGTTGATGAGTTAGGGGAGACTTCAGTAGTTGATTGTTGATCGTTGTAGAATGACCATTGACGCGAGGTTGATTGAATTTTCTACGATTTTTGGACCTCTTAAATGTAGTTTTGACAGGATTTGACCTTTGGTTTGAATTTGGAAGAATCTGATCAGATTTGCCTAAGTTTTGACCTTGACATCGGTGAATGACAATGTTTGTCGGAAAGTGAACGATATCTCTCTCAAGAACCGCGATTGAGGGCGCGTGGTTGGTGGTTGTGGGATAAACCCCTGTAATTCATGTAGATGTTTTCGTTAGCTTTCCAACAAGGTATTATACGCCTAAATCGGATCACCGAGTCAAAAGTTATGACCGAAACAGTGCGAAGACGCTGAAACTGCCCCACACCCGTTGGCTCTCCCTCCTTCCAGACCGTGAGGCTAGAACAACCCCTCCTCCCTTTCCCAAATCAATATCACCAACACCACTCCCCCCTGCCGTGCCTTTCCCCGCTCCAATGCCAGTTTTCTACCTTTCATTTTCATTGCCAGAAGATGAACTGGTTCTTGTCTCCCCCAACAAATTGCCTTCACCATCTGCAAGCCATCTACTTCCTCTAGCCATGTTACTTCTTCTTCCACCAGCCATCATCCATGTACCATACTGCATCTCTTGATTGTCAATCAAACCTTCAAACTAGCACATACATAATTTATCAACATGACTCATGAGGCCGCATATGAAGAAAAAATGTGGGAGCCTCTCGTATTTTATTTCCACCACAAAAGAATCCATTCCTATACTTTTTAGTTTAACCTGACTCTTCAATGACTTGTTCACATCAAGTCTCATGTGAATTCTCATAAATTCCTTCCAGTCGCATTTAAAGTTGCCGGAATCGGCTTGCACAAAGGAACCCACCTGATTACCTATTATTTGGGCCATCACTTCCATGAAGTATATCCTCGGGATTTTGAAGGTCTGAATCTAGAACTGTTCGTGTGACAGTGGAACCAAGGTAGGGTCCTCCTCTTCTTCCAGTGTATGGAGAATCAATAGGTTGTTGTCAAAAGACCATGGGCCATCAGTCATGATCCGCTCAACATCCACTGCGTGAAAGAATTGAAAGCGAAACCTGCGATCTCCTACCTCTCTGATGTGTACTCCTCTCCCGAGCCGCTAAACGTCTGCCATCGTGTCTCAAAAAGGTAAGAATTTTATAGGTCTATCAGAGAGAACACGACCTATCAGACAGTTCAAAGTTTGTAACGTCGAGCCTTCCAAAACCGAGTCATCGAGCTCCATTTCCTCGAATCCCTCATCCTCCAAATTGAGTCTCACATACATCTCTTCCATGTCAGAAGCCATGGCGATGATCATGGAAGAAAACACGTTGAAAATTAACGTAGAGTTACGAAGAAGACGAAGCAAAGCGGTAAAACCCCCAGAGAACTAGGGAAAGAAACTATATCTGAGGAATAATAATGTTGTTTGATGAATACATGTATTCCCTCAATGGTTAAATTTGAAAATGTCCCCCTTTTCTATGGATCCGTATACCATACAGCCGGCTGTACGATTTGCACTGTATAGCCGGTGGCATTTGGTAATTTCAGTGAAATTCGCGACTTCCGCTTAATGGGCATGAATGCACTTGTAATGAGCATCAGATCTATTCTACCGAGTATTGATAGTCTAATAATGAGTATCGTGATATTGACTTCATATCTAATGATTCACTTTATTTTTCTTATTTTTCAAACATCTACAATGAACCCGTGTGAATCTAATATATAAATTTGATGTAATATTATACTTTTGAAATATGCATGAATATGACATTTTAAAACGAGTATTACACCAATACCAAATGAGCATACAAGAATTTCGAAATGAGCATTGAACAATTCAAAAAAGCTAAAATCTCTACTATACTCAACTTTTCATTTGTGTATACTCATATCAGTAAAAAACTACGTACGTGTATACTCCGTAAGAAAAAGAAGAAAAGAAAAAACAGGAGCCAAATCTAGGGTTGAGATGCCCTTTCATCGTGAAATCCACCATAGACCTCGATTGAGAGCTCCATCATCGCAGATCCAAGAGGCGAGCGAAGTGATCCCGTGGTGAGGAAGCAACGAGCCTCGCGAGCTGGGTGGAGAACCGGAGAACGAAGCCTCCGAGGGACGACAAGCTATGCACAGAGAACAGAAAATCAGAATGTACCGTGCACATGGTACAACCTGTTGTACGATATATTTTATGTTTTTCTATATCCATAGTCATTCTCTTTTGCCTGGTTCAAAATTTGGAATGGGATTAACATGAGTCAACTACCTCACAAGTTAATTTTACACTAAAAAATGTTCATACCACCCTACTTCGCTATCACAGCTAAGCTAAAATTCAACATCACTGAATAAAGATGGAAGAACCAAATCAACAGTAAATCAATACGGAGTAATATGTAGTGGTACCAGCAGGCAGTTACATTCACTGCAGCAGCGGTCACTTTCCACCTCCGCAACCGGCAATAGTCCCGGCCGACTTCGCCAGCCGGAATTACGCAACAGCACAATCACACCAGCTATACTTAATTGATCAATTTCATCGTCAATGCAGAAATTACTGCGGATTTGTTTTCACCAGAGAATATAGAGAAGGAAGGGGAGCCGACACGTCATGTATCCAACCACCAACTGCCGTCACCAACAAGATGAGCTGTTCCACACTGTGTAGTTGCCATCGCCTTTCGTCTTGGCCCACACTGCTCCCTCCCCGTCCATGTCTATCCACCTTCTGATGGCTTTCTTCTTCAACTTTTCTTCCTTTCTTCTCGTATGTTCGTTAAGCCCCCCCCTTTTCCTTGTTTCCCTCCGTAGATAAGCTCTCCCAGACTCCAACAAAAGCCGTTTCACCACATTTTCACTCATTCTTCTGTCAGTTTGGTGCTATTTACCTCACGACAAGAATATGCCGGCTTGGTGGGGAAGGAAGTCATCTTCTAAGAAGAGCCTCAAATGCCCGCAACCCAATTCTCCGAGCAGCGCAAAGAATGATGACAGCGAGCGGGTTGTTCGAAGCGATAGGCCCAAGAGCTTCGATGGGGTCTCTACAACCGCGGCAGTGAGGAATTTGCATAGGAGTAGCAGAGAATTTTCTAGTGAAAGAAGCTCTTCTGGGTTTTCCGGCTTTGACAGAGCGCTTCCGTTGCCAAAGCCGTCTTCCTCGAATGAATATGGAATTGGATTGGTGTCTGCGTCCGAGTCAGGATCCAGCGTGAGCTCTTCTGGCTCAGGTGACGATCATCTCAGCACCTCTCAAGCTCAATTGTCTTCTTTCAGGTTGATCTTCTCTTCAAGTATTGATGTGTAGTTTGGATCCTTGGAAAAGGATTATCCAAATTTGTGCTTGGTAGTAACTAATAACTGATGGTGATTGACCTCAAAAAAGAAAAATTAAGGAGTCATAGTCTCACCTTTCATTTTAATCTTATTGTCCTTCGTAGATGTTATTTTTACCATTACAATCCACCTCAGTTGGGCAATTTCTTTCCTATTAATTTTCCCTTTCTAGGGGGCTTATTTCACTCCCCTTGATTTGCCCAATTTTGTGTGTGTATATGCAACTAGTTCAGTTTCCCTGTTTGAAAGTGCACCTTGAAATTTCCATTAGTGTTGAAGTGCCCAGTCTGTGTTGTAGATAACCTAAAGTGTACTCATTAAGTAGCATGAAACATTAGGATGTGATGGCTGTTTGGCTCTATTGTTGGACTGCAAGTAGTCCAAATTGGCTGAGGAAACTCGTAATTTTGTGGCAGAGGTGCTGGAGGAAATAGGCTGAGACCGCTATCTCGAAGCCCAGTTAGATCAAGAGCGTCTACCACCACACATTCACCTCTACATCCACGGTTATCCGGTGTTAGTTTGGATTCCCCCACAGGGAAGTCTGACGATGGGAAAAGTGAATGTCATCGGCTGCCTCTCCCACCTACTTCTCCGACCAGCCCTTCTTTGTCAAATCCAAGAACTTGTGTCACTGAAAGCTCAAGCGGTATTTTGTCACGATGGAAGAAAGGCAGGCTTCTAGGTCGAGGCACATTTGGCCACGTATATCTTGGATTCAGCAAGTAATGACCCTTTCCCTTCATTTGTTGTTTTCATGGCAATCTTTTAATGTGCTATAGCAATTAACAAGTAGCTGCATTATTATTTGCAGTGAGAATGGGAAAATGTGTGCAATTAAAGAAGTAAAAGTTGTTGCAGATGATCAGACATCCAAAGAATGCCTTAAGCAATTGAACCAGGTCTGCCTTATCTCTTACATATCATGATAAGCTGTGTGTGTGCGTGTGTACACACACACACTCCCTCCCTCCCAAAATGATATTCACTTTTACTTTTCTTAGTCAACACAAAACAATTTTATTATCTACTTTCGAGTATCAATATGTAATCATTTTTTACTTTAGTTTTTGAATCTGGTTTCTAAATATATAAATTTTAATTAATAAGACTAATTTATTGTCAAAAAGGCTAAAATACCAATTATCAGTGGAAACCTCGTAATGTTATGGGATACCAGTTTGGGATGGGGGTATAGTTATCATATTCTTCCATGTTGACATGTCTTCTTGCCTTCATTAGGCTTTTGTGTTCTTAAATTTCTTGTGTTCCTTACATACTCAGTCTTTCTCACAGGAAATCATTTTGCTCAGTCAGTTTTCACATGCAAACATTGTTCAATACTATGGAAGTGAACTGGTACACCCCATGATTACACTGTAGTTGACTTCTGAAAATTTAACTTTCAGATCTCTTGTATATGATATTTGGTCAATCGCATATATATAGTGTTCTCATGGTGCACTTTTTTGGTAATATTTCTCTTAGGGTGAAGAAACACTCTCAGTTTACTTGGAGTATGTTTCTGGAGGTTCCATCCATAAATTGTTGCAAGAATATGGGCCATTCAAGGAACCGGTTATTCAGAACTATGCCAGAAAAATTCTATCTGGCCTTGCATACTTGCATGCAAGAAACACTGTGCATAGGTAATCTTTGTGCTTGTTAATGAAGTTATGTTTACTGTTGAGTGTTGAGCAATAACTAGTCTTCAAAATTACAGCTTTTAAAAGGCCTTGTTTTTGACAGGGATATCAAAGGAGCAAATATATTAGTAGATCCCGATGGTGAAATCAAACTTGCTGATTTTGGCATGGCTAAGCATGTAGGTATCAACTTATCTTTGTCTGAGACTTGTGCATTACCCCCTCATGTAACCATACAAATAATGCTGTTTCGGCTGCTTTAAGACTGATTTGGCATTTCAAATTACCAAAATTCACTGAATATTTTCAATGAGCTTGTATCCCCTTGGTGATATTTTTACAGAACTTCTAATCCTTCTACAATTCCATACAAAGAGTCCTACCTTATATTTTTATCTTATATTTTTTTATCTTATCTTTTTCTTTATCTTATCTTTTTTTTCCATCATACCTTATCGTTTTATCTTTCTTATCTTTCTTTTCCTTTTGGCTCCGATGTTATGTATCGGTTCATGTTAGCCGACCCCAAAATGTTTTGGGACTAAGGCTTGGAAGTTGTTGTTATATAGGTAAGTAGTGCCTTGACTTTTAAAAATGGTACCTTGTCAAACTAAAAACAAAAAGTTGTACATTCACTTAGTAGGATTATTTTTGGAACGGTGGGAGTACTTTTAGCATGCCATTAGAAAAGACATTATAAATTCTGATAACAATAATGTTTTTCATTCTCAATATGTTAGTGGTTACATGATTGCTAAAAAGTTGCTATCTTATGATGAAAGATTGCTCCTCCCGCATTCTAAGTCTTCAATGCACATCTTTACATGCTGATGTTCTTGCCTCAATAAAAATGTATTTATTTCCTTGAGGAATGTTCTCTCTTATTGGAAAATCTAGAATTAGTGGTTGCTTTGATATTATTGCAATATTGCATTGTCTAAAACGATCCGTTTTTATTGCTTGCCAGATTAATTCATCCACTTCAATGCTCTCTTTCAAAGGCAGCCCCTATTGGATGGCACCTGAGGTATACCTACATTTCTCTCACCTACCCTGGCTTAATTTGTTTTAGTAAGTTCGTTTTTGAAATATGGATGGTCCAACACCTGCATCTACCTACTTCCAGGTAGTTATGAATACAAATGGCTACAGCCTTGCAGTGGATATATGGAGCTTAGGGTGTACGATTATTGAAATGGCCACATCAAAACCACCTTGGAGTCAATATGAAGGGGTGAGATAAATGAAATTCGTTCATACCAATGGACTCATCTTTTGATGAGTATGTGTCGAAGAACTAATGCTCAATTTTGGTCACTTTCTTCTTGTAACTAACAGGTTGCTGCCATATTTAAAATTGGAAACAGCAAAGATATGCCTGGAATACCTGGCCACCTATCGAATGATGCTAAAAGTTTTATAAAGTTATGTTTGCAGCGAGAGCCATCTGCACGTCCTACAGCGGCACAGCTTCTGGACCACCCTTTTATTACTGATCTAAGGGGGGTGAGAGGATTAACCCATGTTAATGTTGTAAATAAGGATACTCATTCTTGCCTCAACGATGGAATTCGCACCGCGGTAAATACCTATGAACATATCTTTTCCACTAAAGTTTTTGTGGTTCTCATACTTGTGTTCTCATGCGGGCAAAACTAATACTACCTCCGTTCTTAAATAAGTGCAACGTGTGAAATTTTACACTATTCACATGTTCTACTTTGACTATATTTTATTTATTGATGTATTAATATATTTTTTTGAAAAATATATTATTAAATTTGTCTCATTATAAATTTTCAAAAACTTTTTATTTTTTTATTTTTTACTAATAGAGAATTATATATATTAATGGTCAAAGTTGTGTCTCGGCAAGTGTGAAATGTTGACTGTTGCACTTATTTAAGAACGGAGGAAGTACATTTTTTGTTGCTTTTCATCAACTCCAATATAAATATAGTTATCCCACCTGAAGAGTGAATATGAAGAAAAAAAATAGGAAGAGTGAGTATGCATCTACTCCCTCCGTCCCGTTGGAATGTTCCCGCTTTCCTTTTTTGGATGTCCCGTTGGAAAGTTCCCATTTCCCTAAATGGAAAGTTATCCTACATCAAAACAGGGTCAAACAGTGCAAAACAGTGTTGAAACAGTGCCAAACAGTGTCAAAACAGTAAAATTTACCCTCTGGTAAGTTTATTTCCTTAATATGTGTGTAGGTCAAACCGGGAACATTCCAACGGGACGGAGGGAGTATATAATAGGCTGGTGTATGATGGTTAGCATGCCAACAAGATAGTGACTCATTAGACCATATCAATCTTGCTGTTCGTGTGCTCGCTCTTAAAGCTTACAAAAAATGAATTACACTTTTTTAAGCGCAATAGTCTGGCATACCATATTAAAACTTGAAATTTCATTTTAAAAATAAAACCCAACAATAATAGCATTACAAGACCTGTGTATTTGTATGGTTACAATTCTGCACTATGTGAATTTATATCTTGATAATTGTGCTGTGTAAGAGGATATAATATGCTTTTGTTTTTTATTTATGTTTATAGCCGGCTAGTGACTTACATCCCTGCCGATCCAACATGTGGTCTCTTGAGGTCCCCAGAGCCATGATCAGCTCAAGGTACTGAAAGTGCTAGAAATTAACTGCGGTTATATGAAGTAATGTTTACAGTTTCGCCTTACTGCCAGAGTTTCAGAATATAATCTTATTTGCATGGTTTCTTCTACAGGGACTGTACAAGAAGTATCACATCGTTGCCTGTGTCTCCCTGTTCAAGCCCTCTGAGGCAACATGAACCAGCACGCCGGAGCTGTTACCTCTCCCCGCAACACCCATCCTATCCTCCCACTGGCCAAACTGGATATTATATGAACGACTACTCAGCATTTCCAACAAGGCCGAATCCAAGAAGCACGCTAGATTCGTTCCCAGAGATCCAGCAATTTAGCACTCAAACAACACCTAGTAGATCCTTAAGAAACTAGACCCATTCTTTAGAGCTGATCCCAGCAACAGAATGAAGCTGATCTTCCGATGACCTGGAAAGCTTGCTGATGCCTATAATAGAAACGGGCATGCACATTCCTATTTATGATGTGCCAAATGAGTGGTTGTATTATTAAGTTGTGGCTTTTCCTGTGCTATTGGCATGTCAAAATATTCAAGAAAATAGGAATTATTTTCAGCTAATCATGAATGTGTAATGTGCGGTGGTTGTAATTACTAATTAGTTAAGGTCTTTCTCTTTTTATCACTTCTTGCTTTTAAATGTAAATAGAACGTATCAGTTTTTATGACAAATAATGAAGTACCTTGTTGACTTGTTCCTCGGAACTCTACACTGGCAAAGATTTCCTTTCATTGAAAAAGTATGTCTTGGTTTTGGTCATGAGAATCTATTGTTCCAAAAAGGTGGAATCTCCCACCCCAGGAGCCCCCACCCCGATCCGACAGGATGATGGGGAGGTTAGTCACGATGACTCAGTCAGCAGAATGACAGTAGGTCCATACACCCGTACGCACCAGAGGCACAATCTTATTTCAGGTTCTGTGAGCTCCTCCCGGTCGCTGCGGGGATTCGAATCTTGGTCCATTGTTCAAAATCTCCCACCACTCGACCAATTGAGCTACCCAAGCAGGTCTGATCATGAGAATCTATAACCTGAGTGGTGTACTCCAAATACTGTCATCCCTGGTCTACTCGCCTTATTAGTCCTGCTCATGCAACCCTCGTAGATGGTTAATTTCACTTTTGGTTCGATGAATTTTATGTCAATTTCACATTTAGTTCAAATTGGTGCCATACTGAAACGAATATGGAATGGGTGCGATACCAAAATGAATTTATTCGCCCTTTTTTTCCTTGAAAAAATTAGGCAAGGGAAAGTCCATAAAGATGATTAGGAGAGAATGAGATCTCTTTAATAGTGAATTGAAAGGGAACTTCGGCACACCGATTGTGATGTTCTTGTGTGATCATGATATCATAGGTTCAAGTTTTGAAAGCGGGTTTTGAAAATTTCCTCCTCTTCCAATGTTTTTATAGCAAAAGTTTCGAAAAATTATAGAAAAATGGATGAGTTTATTGGAAATTTTTCGGCAGCAGCCACAATTGTCAAATCACACTTTAAGAAAAAAAAAACTAACCTCATTTTTATCATCTAAAAGTGTACGTAAATCTTTTGACATTTTTCTTATTCCTATTGAAATAATTAGGTATTTATGATTCAAATAATTTTTCTTAAAATGGCATGTTTTTGCAGATAATTTGTACTTTATAAGTGATTTACTCATACTGCTCGTGGTATTTTAAAGGGAAAAATAATTAAAATACCTCAAACTTGCATATGTATTTAAATACCCCAAATTTTATATAAAAAATTATTTTGGCACCATAATCAAGTACTACGTATTATTTTTTTCAAAAATGTAAATTTATGGTGTTAATTGCATAATTTAAAAATATTTTAGAATTCATGAAGACACAATTAACATTATAAACTTCAATTGCTAAATAAATAATGTTACACTCAATCTATACAATTGCAACACTTTTAATTTGCTAATTTAAATTATGCAATTAATCTCATAAACTTACAATTTTGAAAGAAATTATACAATTGCGAAAATAACTTTTTATATAAAGTTTGAGCTATTTAAATTAAATGCGCAAGTTTGGGGTGTTTAGTTCACACCTCATCTAAGTTTGGGATATTTTTATTATTTTTCCCGATTTTAAATCACACTTTTTTGTAAATAATTTTTAAATTTAGAGATATTTTTGAGAAAAAATCTACTATGTATTTCTCAAGTAGAAAATACCAATGGGGAAAAATAGAGTGATTCATGTTTTTGGGGCGAGCGGTCCACTGAGAATGGATAGCCAAGATCATACTGCGACTAACGCTCCCGCCGCCGGAGACTCCATCCGGAGTCATCATAGATCTTCACTGATAGCCGACTGGCCAACTGTTGATGGCTCGCTGGGGCTCTCGGAGCAAGACTCAATTGGCTACGCCCGCAGGTTCTTCAAGTTCGGATTTGTGCTACTCCCGTGGCTTTGGGCCGTCAATTGCTTTTATTTCTGGCCAGTCCTTCGCAGCCCTTCTTCCTACTTCCACCCCGATCTCCGCCGCTGTAAGCTTTACCAAATGCATAAATTTTACGGAGTATTTTTTATATTATGTTTCAGTTAATGCACTGATTGCACTCATCTGTATCCATATATTGCTTAGAAATTTGAAATTCTTTTTTTTTCGATTAGCCGCTAAAGATTATTTTCCGCCGCCATGATAACCTCTATTTTTACCGTCGAGGGGAAACTTGCGAGTGTAACTCAACTTGTGGCTCTCCTGTTGGATCCTGGATAGAAATGGGCCATTTGATCCTTTCAATGAGCAATAGTAGAATTTAGCAAGTTATCAAGGGTAATAATAGGGGAATGCTCTACATTGTATTTTCACATTTTCAATATACATATATATGTAAGATTTTCAGGATATCTGATCATGCAAAATGCAAATTGGTAGAAATATTAACAATTTTATTACGCTACAGACTGTATTAGGGTACAGTTGGAAGGATGGGTCTTGCGTGCGTGAATAGTAGAGTTTGAAGCAAAATAAGCTCATTGGAGCATAACACATTAGTATCAATTCCTAGACAAAGTTCTCCCCATAAAAAGTCTCATCAGCGGCTTATAAAAAAATATAGTTTTTTAACTCTACCCATTCCTTAGGTACCACACAGTCCCTTACAGTATGTAAGATTGTCTTTGCCATTACTTCAAAAACTTCATAAACTAGTGACATGAAAATATTGCGCTGCCATAACAAAGAAATGGTTATGATTTTTTCATGTGCCGCTCTCCAAAGAGGCAAAGAGTTAATGCTCTGCCTTGAAGGACCTCTGCATGACCATAAGCTATTCCACATAAACTTCTTAGCTAGGTTCCTCCTGATGGATTATTAAGTGGTATGCTGACTTTGTGTTAACGAAGGCCATTTCCAAAGGGTTGGCTCCATTTTCCACGGCCCTGTATTAGCAGCGTGGATCCATGAATTTTGGACAAAAGGATGAGAGTAAGAACCCATCCCTGAAATGGTAGATGCTCTTTAACTATGACACAATTCTTCTTTCGTTAACTTTTGCTTGCACTACTTTCCCTTTACCGGAGTTTATTATTACATGCTTTACTTTTCATTTTTTGCAACTATAAATGTCTCAAAACACATTCTCCTAATAATTCACTTTTTCTACACTATACACTGCATCTACATTTTTGTTCTTAATTTTTGTGACAAGCCTATTGGACGAGCAAAAGTGAAATAGTGTAGTAGTAAGAAACTATAGAATGCAATAAGAATCCGTATCTCAGTTAGAGTTTATGTCAGCCATTAGCTTGAATCAAACGAAAAGTTGTTTGGTGGTGTGTACGTAGGAATGAATTTCTTCAGTTCACTGTGGCATGGGATAACGAAGTTGTCCCCGATTGAGTAGTCGTGAATGTTCCCGATTGAGTAGTCGTGAACTTTGTTTCCGGATCTAAGCGGTTTTGTGTAGAAAATGAGGATACCCATTCCTTAGTGGCCTACAGGCAAACCTGCAACCATGAATTTTCAGTTATGCTGAACAAAGTGACAAATAATCAAGAATTTATATAAATCTGCAAATACACTAGTTTTTTCAAAAAACAATCTCTCATTAAAAAGTGACAAATGCTCTTTCTTTTGAAAGATAGTTTTTCTTTGACAAATGCTCTAGACATAAGCTATTGACATGTCCCTGTGTTAATGAATGTTATAAGCAGGGGCACTCAAAAGCTTAATATGTTATCTGGTTTTTATTAGGGAAAGTTCCCGAAATAGAACTAAAACAGTTTGAAAATTCCAAAATAGGACTGTCATATTTTTTATTCCCAAAATAGGACTATATATTGCCATATTTAGAAAATACTGCCATGTTTGAAGTCTGGTACTGCCAAAACATGACAATAATTAGTCCTATTTTGGGAATAAAAACATGACAGTCCTATTTTGGAATTTTCAAACTGTTTTAGTCCTATTTCGGATTTTCGGGTAATATTCTCTTTTTATTATTACCATTGTTTCTATAGTTGTATTGTTTGCTCAATAGTTTGAATTGTATGCAAATTCATGGACAGTTCGGAACTGTTTTGGCTATTCAGGAATTTCTTAATTAAACCTTATTTGGGTCACTTTATACTTAACTATTAACCACTGTCTTTGTGTCACTTGGTGCTTTACAATAATTCACATATTTTTTACATATCACAAATTTAAAGAATGAAAAAGACCCATCTATTAATTTAAGTGTGACCTTCTTCAGATGTGGTTGGATCGGCTATTGGATTTGCTGTGTTCACAGCTGTTCTTTGTTCATGGGCTATTACCTTCGCTGTTGGAGGAGAGAATCTATTTGGGAATTCTTGGAATGAGCTGGTAATGTACAATGTTGCTGACAAATATGGATTGACTGGCTGGATGTAGATACTGTTCTTGTTTCAGTGGGGTCCTTTTACTTTTCACGAAGGACTCGGACTATAGTTTCTCCATTGGTTTGGCATTTGTAATTGTTTTTTCAACATGAGAAAGTAGTCACATACGAGTATGTAAAGGTATATTAATCGACCAGCTCAACTCATACATTCAATATCAAGGTTGGAGAAGTTGGATCGATAGGTTTGATATATTAGGTTGCGTTTGTTTATACTTTTATCTTCTCGATAAAATTGTGTTGATTTTTGGATTTTCTTCAATCCAGCCAAACCACTCGTACACGCACTCACATGTCCTATTGCCATAATGCCTTTCATTTGCATAAACAAAAAACAAAAACAAATGGAGTTGCATTCAATTGATGTTCAAACCTTATGTCACTGGTGAAGTTGGAGCTCCCAACCACCGAGGTCTCAAGGTGGGTCTAATGGAGGTCCGATGAGGTATTGACTGTCTGGTGGTGAATGTTCTGTTGGCATCATTGAAAGCCATCCAATGGTGGGGTTGGCCGATCACTGCCCACTGCAAACTAAGGTGGTTCAAATTGCCTGTGTGGAGGTGGTTTGGTCTTCGGCAAAGCAAGTAGAATTATTTTTACATTTATTTCTACGAGTTTAATATCAATTCAACATTTAGTTTACGTCTTTCATTTTATCCACTTTTGATACCTGATTAATACTTTTGACCATTTATGGTTTTTCTGTTCAATTTTTTGATGTCTCCCCGACGATTTTAATCACTGAAAAGATCGACAAAAGGATCATATATGAGCAAAAAACAAGTCATACATCAAGTGATCAAAATCAAAGACGTTTAGTTAAGTTAGGGGTGGACTCGGGCCGGGCCAACCGGACCGGAACCGGACCGGCCCGCCACTGTGCGGGCCCGGACCGGCCCGGGAACCGGTTCGTTGGGCGGTTCGGGCCACCCGGCCCGGTGGATTCTCGGTTCGGGCTCGGGCCCTTCAAAAGGTGAACCGGCCCGGCCGGTTCGGGCCTGGGCCGGGCCAATTTTATTTTTTTTTTTGATTTTTTTGAGTTTTTGGGTTGGGCTGGTTATTTTGGGCCATTTGAGGTGGTTAGGGTTGGTTTGGGGGTGAGGGGGAAGGGTGGGGGTTAACTAGGAAAAGCCCAAAAAAAAAAATATACCCGAGGCCCGGTCCGGCCCGGACCCGGGGGTTACCCGGGCCGGTTCCGGGCCTCCCCTTCTTGAACCGAGGCCCGACCGGGCCCAGGCCCGAACCGGGCCCGAACCGGCCCGAGTCCACTCCTAAGTTAAGTGCCCTATGGAATGCACATAATTAAGTATGAAATTGGTGCGATACTAGTAGTATTCAAAGTGAAATTTATTCATGTAAGTACCCTATGGAATGCACATAGTTAAGTGCATGCACGTGAGAGTTGATGATGGGAGACATTTTAAATCAAAATTGGAACTTCTTAAATGTTTTGGCAGTGAAGAGTCCACACATAATATGGGTAATTTTTTTTTGAAAGAAAATAATTTATATCATAGATAACAAAACAATCAACATCTCAACAACCAAAAATAGTCAAGCCTCCTCTTGAGACTCGGCGTAACCAAACGGCCCTCCCACTATGACCAATATAAGTCATAATACCCCCACAATCAGTGGTGGTATAGATTTGTATATCCATGCTCAAATCTCATCTCATAAACGCTCAAATATTTTAAGTAAAATAACATGTGGTTGAGATAAAATTTAAAATGAGGCCTTTTCATTTGATTTTTTTTGAAAAGATTTGTTATAATATGATTTAGATGTTTTTTCACGTTCCATAGTTCTTCCATCAATTTTGTGAAGGCTTTCCAATTTTATTTTTACTTTTTGTATGAATTTGTATGAATTCGTCACATTTAATTTAACAAATATTATATTGAAGAGCATTTGTGTGTTTTTTTAATCTTTCTTACATTCTTCACACTTTACAAATTCAATGTCAATCAATAATTCTACTTTCTTTAATAAATATGTTACATAATTAACATAGTGACAGAAGTGTAAAGAGGCATTAAACTATTAGTTAATAGTAAAGAAATGACGCCCGATAGTGAAATAACACAATTAAAATTTATCTTTATAACTATATTTATCTTTGCACTATTGTTTTTATCTTTTCTTTTATCTTGTCTTATCGTTTTACCCTTTTTAACTCTAATTCATACTACCTCCGTCCCAATTTACTTAGTCAAACTTGACTTTTCAAGTCAACGGCCTATAACTTTGACCAATTATTTAAGCTAATATATTTATGCAAAATTTAATAATTTTATACTTTTATAATAGTGTTTTTAACAAAGAACATTTTCATATCATTTTCATATTATCAATACTTTCTCTATATAAACATATAATCGGTCAAAGTTAGACGTTGTTGACTTGAAAAGTCAAGTTTGGCTAAGTAAATTGGGACGGAGGGAGTATCACAATTCATATTTGTCCACACTAAACTCAGGTGGGACGTTATTTATAGTGACAATTTATTTGTTTTGCACACGCTTTTTTAAAATCTTCTTTACTTGTTTGGATTCATTTAATGTATAAGTCTAATACATACTCCGTATATCCAAAGTTTAATATTCCGTATATGCATTTTACTATTATTTAAATTCAAGTTTCTTTGATTTGATCCATTCAAGTCTGCTATGATCTGAGAAAAAGATATTCTGATTAAATAACAGGCTCCATTCCAAAATTTTCCGTTAATCTATAGTATAGTTATATGTTGTAGTTAATACATAAAGACGATCTAAATGGGAATAATCAATGGGATGTTGTAGATAGAATATGGGAATCAAGAAATATTTCCCTAAATAGGAGTTAATCATTGGGATGTTCTAAAATTGAAAGTGAAGATAGAACATGGGAATCAAGAAATATTTCACTAAATCAGATGTTTTTATTTGGACTTGATTCAATCCTAAATCACATCAGAACAAATCAAATCAGACTTGAACAGATTAAAACACACCAGACTTAAACATGTCAGATTAGACTTCGAAAGTTATAAACACATAGATCAAACATCCACCAAATCAAACCACACAAGTTTAGAGCAAACCAAACAAGACTTGAAAGAATCAAAACTTCATTCCAATTAAAAACATGTATTCGATATCCGTGTCACATAACCATAGAAGAGTAGTTCGCCGCGTTGACATCGTCAGACAACCTTTCCCACACGCTGTGTCAACATTGTGGAAAATAGAAAAAAGGATACGGTAAGATTGTAAGAAGCTGCTCAAATTTGACCGGGCATCCAGGATAATTAAACCTTAATTTGCTCCTTTTTAAAACAAAAAGTCAATGTTCTTTTCTCAACGTAGAATAGACCTTTCCTCCTCTTCCCTCAATATAATGAGGTGTCAGATGAATACATATAATGACCTTGTAAAACTATTGAGAAAAAACATCATCTTCCACATACATATTTTTACATATATACATAGTACGCACACACATATACATTCTTGATTAATTATTTGTTCATCTCATCTGATCATTACATTAATGGACAGAGAACAAGACGAGATTCAGTTTCTCGGGTTCCTCAGCATATTCAAGGAATCATTCACCCTGGTTTCAACATGGAAGAAGATTTTTATGCAGATAACATCCGCCATGATCATTCCTCTGGCTTTCATTTACCTCGCACACGTTGAGATATCCGACCTAATTTTCACAGATATCCTCCGGGACGAATATATTATTGATAGAATCCAGCGAGGAACCAAGGCGTACAACAAGATATCAGATGTCCTGTATTCTGAATGGACCATCTTCTGGCTCTTCAAGATAGCCTACTCCATCTTCTTCTTCATTCTCACCCTCCTTTCCACCTCCGCTGTTGTCTACACCATTGCCTCCATCTACACCGCCAAGGACATCACCTTCAAGAAGGTCATGTCCGTTGTCCCTAAAGTCTGGAAACGCCTAATGGTCACATTCCTATGGAGCTTTGCCATCCTTCTTGCTTACAATGTCATGTCTATGTTCATTATGATTATCTGGCTGGTAACGGTGGGGCCCGGAGCAATCGGAGTGTCCGTTGTTACACTTTTATTCATCGTCTACATGGTGGGCTTTGTTTATATCACTGTTATATATCATCTCGCGAGTGTGGTATCAGTGCTTGAAGATGTGCATGGACTAAATGCCATGATCAAGAGCCAAAGCCTGATAAAGGGTAAAATGGGTATTTCATCGGTCATTTTCTTGCTTATGAACACGGTTTTCTTCGGGATTCATACAGGGTTTGAGTACCTTGTAGTGCTCGGCTATGGAGGTGGAGTAGTAGGGAGGGTAGTTTATGGAATTTTGTTTGTGATGTTGTTGGCAGTTTTGATACTCTTTGGACTCACAACTCAGACGATCATCTACTTCATCTGCAAATCATATCACCATGAGAATATTGACAAGTCCTCTTTGTCTGATCATCTAGAGGTTTATCGTGGAGAATATGTTCCTTTGAGGTCTAAGGATGTACAACTTGAGTCATTTAGTGTATAATATTTTTTTAAAAAAAGGTGTACCCAGTGTAGAAACTGCCACACTTTTTTTTGTGGTAATGTATGAAGTTCACGGTGACTAGTAGTTATTATTACACAAACTGACCTGAAACTCTTCTCAGAGAGAATGCATGTACTTGATTTTCTCTATTACTTGATTTATTTTGATAGATGGTTCTTTATACAAGAGAGTAACATCATCAGACGTTTTAGCCAAGCTTGGTTCCCCAAGCAAAGCACGGAATGATTCTGCAACTGAGTGGGAAAGAGAGTACAGATTGTACCCTCCTTCCAAGAAAAAGACACAACGGCCGGCACACAAATTCTTGGCTAGTTGTTTGATGTTGTAAGCAAGCATGTAATACGTCCCTGTTGTAAATTGCAGACTGCCTAGGGGATCCAGCATGTGTGCATCATATCTGGATGCAAAAAAAATTATTATTACTATTTTTATTACTATATATTATTATTATTATTATTATTATTATTGTCCTGCAAATTCCCTTAGTTTTTTCTTAAAACACAATACAGTGCATATTTGCTTAATCAATGAGTTAAAATCAAGAAAATTACCCGGCTGAGACCAGGATTATATCTGGTTTGAACCTCTGTGCACATGGTGCAATAACATCATCAAACACCTTCTGCATGGCAGTATCACCTGATCCTCCTGGTAAAGGAAGATTCAGAGTTGATCCTTCACCTTTTCCAGCTCCAACCTGATATACTTTTCCTGTTCCAGGGTAACTCCCATCCTACACACAACACCAATTTAAGTAAGGTTAACAATTTCACATAATGCAGTAATACCCCTAGCTAACTAGTGATAGTGTCATTTATGCTATTTACCCACAAATGAGAAAACCAAAAATTTATATTGCTTGTGAAGATGCAAACAGGTATGATACAATTGTGGCTTACTTGGTGAGTCGAAAGGAAAAAAACATTGGGATCTTCATAGAAGGCATCGTTGGTTCCATTGCCATGATGAACATCAAAGTCAATGATAAAAACACGCTTTAAACCATGCACACGCTGAGCGTAACGTGCTGCAATTGCAACATTTCCAAACACACAAAACCCCATGGCCCCCTTTGGAACTGCATGATGACCTGGAGGCCGTATCAAAGCAAAAGCAACAGGAGGGTTCTGACTAATTTTCGATGAAGCTACCTGAAATTTCATAGAAAGTTACAAAAACTGTTTCTGGCAGATTGTCAAATCAAAATATTGAAATAGTGAGAGGTCAAAAATATAAAGCAACTCCATATTTTGCTAAAAACTAAACGATGCACAACCAGCCTCATTAGAAGAAGCAAGTGGTTTAAACTAAGGCTTCCAAAAAACTGTAGTACTCCTATCCTAAGATTTACTGAGATTCGAAAGAAAACTTCCAATGAGCACCTTTACCATTCACTGCATTTGAGTTACAGCTTGATCCACATTTTGATGACCCACCTCATCTTGGTAATGAATTATTTGTCCAAGATTTTACCAAAATAATTCACCAAGAAAGCTGGGAAATGCCCATTACCTGGTGTTTGGTGCACCATAATCAGCCAAGGACACTGGAGAAAAGTTTCTGGGATGCTTCACAGCAAGTGGTGAGGACTGGAGAGGTTCAATTGCTTGCCTTGTGTCCGACATTTTAAAAGAGAAAGAAATATGACTAATAAAATCAGAATTTGGGTTGTCACTGCATTCATACTTTCTCTGACAATTAGCTAAAACCCCTCTCCAGACCAGCCTTGTCCAGTTGGTTCAGATACGGAATTGAGTGAGGCGTTCGAGAAAAAATGAAAGGGATGACAACCTTTTATCAAGATTTTTAAATATGTTAAGGTTGGAAATCAAGCACCCTAACTCAAACAACACCTAAAGTACTCCTTGTTGTTCCCCACAAATGCCAGCTGTATCCATTTGTTGCAAAGGGTACCAGAAACATCTCTTTAGCATTCATGCCTGCTAGCAGATTATGGAAGCAACAACGGCAGGTAGTGGGCCATCCCCGTCCTTCATGACCCTAGCAGCTTAAAAGTGGAGGAGTGAGCATTCATCAGTAAGGAAAGTAACATCACATATTAAAACGTTACCACTGAATCAAGCAAAGAAATACCAGCTCCGGCTGCCATTAAAGACTCTTGAAATGTCTGCATCATTGTCAAAGAGGAAAAGTGAGACAGTACTCTAGTTACAAACATTCCAGACAATATAGCATAGAAATAATACTGATGTAACATTGATTCGTTCATTCAGTTATAGGTAAATAACTTAATACACTCTTGACTGAGCAGGCTTGACTTGACGAGGGTTGTGCTGACGAGAGTCTACATAGCACAAACTAGAAACACACACTGACAAATATATTCAACCCACCCATAAAATACTGACAACACCAATAGCAACAACAAGTTAGGGACCCCCCCCCCCCCCCCAAAGCAAGACTATATAACAACACTGGAACCATGCCGCCAGCATGCAACTAAGAGAAACCACTTGTCATCATAAACAACAATTAGGAGAATTGAGACTTGAGATAAAGAAAATAAGCCAATTGTTACTGTTGCAGTGGCATAAGTTGGTCCAGAGCCATCAATAAGAATTAGACCTTCTTCTGAAGCACGATTCATAGCCTGAAACTTGTATAAAAGAGAAAAGTAAGGAAAATAAATACACAAGTAGACAATACAATGTCATAGTAAAAGAAGTTGATGCCATATCTAATATTGGTAAACTAGGGATAAAATAGAGATCCATGAATGTGAAGAATGCCTTAAATATTAATCATAAGTCCAAGCCCTATAGGAGTTCTACCAAGCCTTACAGAAATTATTTAAACAGAGAGCACTGTGACTCATAGCTGAAATGAAAAATATCAATGGAGGATAAAAGTTACCTTCTCAAGGCCTGAAATGTAGGGTCTGGTATGAACACCTGCTATTTCATCTACTGTAGCCGGTCTAAACTTCTGCAGTTCAATGATATCGGATGCTCCGTGCTAAAGTACAATGCAGTTGTTTGATTAGGTGAATCCTATAAGACTATAAGTCTATAACATAACACTCACTCTGAACCAAAAAAGAGGCATGCTTGTATTAGTAAATTTTATTTCAGACAGAGGCCGCACTTGATGTATGATAATTAAATGTGCATTCGCGTCAACATCAAAGGAACAAGGAACATCCTTTTTGAAATGCATGTAGAGACTAGAGAGGGTGCATGCACTTAAAACAATGCATGTAAATATTTGAGACTTTTATGTGTCTCATCATAGTTCTTAGTATCATAGGTTCAGGATACATATTTCACAATCCAACATAGCCTCCCAATGATACCGATACTTGCTTAACATAAATGGAGAAGCATCGTGCCATCGACTATACATATGATTTAATGAGACTTGATTTAGTATTCCAGAACTATGAGCATTTTCTTCCTATTGTGGGTATTAATTTTGTTATCTAGAATTATTATTAATATGTTTTATAGAGTACCTGCATGCAATACAAAGTGATCACGATTCAAAAATTGATCAAACTTAACAACTATGTGTACCATACCTCTGAAGTCAACTCCATCTTCTCCAGAGCATTCAGAATTGCAGGGACTCTGGAGTTGCATTCTGGATGTGATTCCTGATGAAATAGATAAGGTGGTATTCAATAGAAACATTTTGATATGCTAAAAGTGAAAGCCATCAAGATTCTAGGATAAGATAAAATTACACAGTTCGAATTTTCACTTTACAGTGAATGTAAGAAACCTAGTCTAGTCATCCAGTGTCAGGAAAATAAGCTATATGCAACTCCTAGAATAATTTCACAGTTAAACTGAAGTACATTGTTGAACTTCCTGTACCTTGTTGTGACCCAAGGCAGGAGAGACAGCATAAATCACCTTTGCCCCTACACAAATAGATTGGGGTGGAAAGCTCCCACCTTCATCCGTTTTATTCAAACAACTAATTCGACCTCGAATGTTCTCTAACAGATATGCCTTTTCTGGTTCGACATTCTTCTGAATACTCAATTTCCTACGAGCAGAACCATATCCAAAGTTCTTCTTCCTACTGAAAACACAATACTTAGCCCACGAGAGAACATCACCTGGAAAAAGAATTAACAAGGAAAATGAGTTTCACTTATGATTTTCTAGCCAATTATCATTTACCGCCCACTTATATAGCAGTTAAAAAAGTTCTGCTCTTTCCTTTACAAATCAACCGATCATTGGGGGGCACTACGAAAAACATAACTAAAACAAACAAATTAAAAGGACTCCTCATCAGATGACATAATCAACATGCTAACAGAGGTAAAGATCTTTCCATTAGAAAAGTTATGGGCTTCCAGGCTAGCTCTAGGTGTTCAATCAAGCAAATAAATCAGTAACTATGGTATGAAATTAGAAACATAAAAGCCGCAGATATCCGATGTATGATGAAAACAAACAGAATAACTTGCAATGAAAACATACAAAACTAGGCAGGGTTAGACTTGTTCAGAGAGACTCGGAGAGGGAGGGAGGGAGAGAGATTAGGCTGTACAAGTAGAAGACGCACAAGGCACGGTGCAGAGCTCCATGATACAACCGCCTGTCCGCCTGTGCTGTGATCACTGACAGCCTTTTTGTAATATCTTACCATTTCGATTTGTTTATACTTATGTGAGTTATGTCTGGTAACTTCAAGCCAAGTCAATCAATCCTACATCCTTTGCCTTATACGTATACAAACTACCATACACCTATCAAATAAGGAGAGTGTTACTTATGGATATTTGTGTGTTCATTTCTCTCATGTCAGTATGTATGTCACATGTGCAATGTGCTCATCGTAGAATTAGAGATGTTGTAAGATAGCGAGTAAGTGTTTGTAATTGCTTTTGAGAGTAAATGACTCAGATATTTATTCTGATCAATAAGGGGTGTAATCCTCCTAATTCCAATTATCATCCTCAAGTTGATGCATTTTCACTAAGCAATTCCACCCAATTCATTTAGTGTCCAATCTAGTCTTGATCACACGCCTAAATTGTCAGGTTTTCACGAGGAGTACAACATCACTCTAAGTTACTCTTTCCTTTATGTGTTTCACTAATGAACTAGAGTGAGTCAAAAGCTTGCAGAGTCTTATTCTACCTGATAGAGTATATGGACCTATACCCCACGACCCACATACTCATGGAAGGCAAACACTACAACGGCATTGATGTACCCCCTCGCCTGGTCCCCTCGGCTAGAAGAGCCCATTCCTACAGATGAGGCCCAGAAACTGAAGACCAAGGAAATGGGACAAGAACGCTCATCTCGGCCTAGCCCCCTCGGCTAGGCACCCTCGTCCTAGCCACCTTGGTCAGGACCTTTGGCGAACAGTCTCCACCTTATATTTAACACAATAGATTCATGTAATCAGTCCATTATTGTAATCGGACCTACCAAACCCAAGAGCTTGGACCTCAACCCACACTTCCCCTATAAATACTCCTCTTAGGGGTAATTGTAGGGGGTTGAAAAACATTGAATGCAAAGGAATTTCTCTCTCTAGCTCTCACTTCTCTCTAGCTCAATACTTTATCATATGGTGCTCTTGTTCAGAGCTAGAACGATCAAGTTAGTACCCTCATCGCTACTAGACATTGCTAACTAAAATGGGGAAGACAAGATCGAACAAGATCACCAAGATAAGGCTCTCCCTGACCCCCACATCCAGCGGGAGAGGTCTGGAGATGCCACGATCGAGAAAGCGATCGAGGAGTTTGAGTTCCAAGATACCACTGACCCCACGGCTGACCTTCGCAAGCAGATCAACATCAAGGCGTCGGATGAACAAATCAACCTTGAAGGAAGGCGCCACAAACTACTCCCCTTATGGATCCTCAGGTCGAGGTTGCACTCTTTGCAATCATCTTCAACCTCACCCAGAACCCCACGGTCCTGAGCGCCTTCATCCCTATGATACGGGAGAACATGACACCACCATCTCCCCCACTGGGACCTCCTGTCAACTTCCTTAAGGGAGGCAACGTCGAAGGAGTCATACCTCTGGACGTTGCATCACACACTGCCTCTCCTCCTCATGCTAGACCCACCCCTTGGCATGGCAAAACCTCAGCCTTTTGAAAGGTTGGGGAACACGCATTGTCGGTTAGTGTCGGAAAGGATGGGAGGTCGACTAGGTGACCGAAAGCCCAACTCTCCCACAGAAAGTTTGGGGTTGGTGTTCGAGACAACGGACCAACCCCCTAGACAAGGGAAAAGGGAAGCTCCAAAAGGAGGATGCCCGCCACCATATCAATCGGGCTCACTCCATCCACATCTAGGCACAACAAGAAGCCACCACGATGGGGAAGGACCCTCGGGACGAGGTGACAATGTTAGCACATATGTTTTAAAGACAATCATTTTCATAGAGATATATATATTTGATCACATTTAGTTTGGTATATTTGATATATATGGTATTACACATTTATAATTAAGCATTTTGATTGTCAATGGTTTATTCATGATTGTGTTCTCTTAAGCTTATGTTGTCACTAAATAAGTGAGAGCTTATGTGATATAACATAAAATCCTAAAATAGCCCAACCAATAATCATTAAGAAAGGCATATTGGTGATATGCAATAAGATTAGTATGTGGACTGTATCATACTTTTAGAAAGTATAGTTGATCTCACAACTATGAGTTCCTGTAATTCATCATGGTCACATAGGTATTTTAGAGAATATTGACATACTCACCGAGAAACCACTTGATAAGTTCTATTCATGTGTCTATGAAATCATCTGCATATAGAGTAGTGTAATAGTCTTCCGACTTGAGATCAATACATACTTCATGTTTGGAGTGATGTACTTTTACCATGACCAACACTTGCACTCTAATCGGGGTAGATACATCCTGGGTTGGGTGCATCACGAAGCACATGAAATAGTAGTTGAGTCGAGAAAGGATTCGTTCCTCGTAATAGATTAAGAGAGAACATTCTATTTCTCATATCAAGATGGATCATAAATTCATTGACCAATGCAAAGATATATTCGTTTTGGATATTGAATATGATCGTTATGGATCATCTAGAAAGATTGAGAGATAGAGACTAAGTTATTGGAATAGGCACAATATCATGTTCTAGACTTAGTTGGATGTTCATTGAATGAAAGGACCATATCATTATGAACTATATAACACAGGGCATTTAAATAGTCCTCGCAAGCGTTCTTATATATTAAGTTTGCCAGGAGACTCGTCTAGGGATTCACTGAGACCTTAATTTGATTAGTGCTTAACATATAAGGCTGTTAGAACATTATTTATTCTGTCCAAATTAATTGTAATTTTCTTTGTTTATTTAGACTAGTATTAGGGGGCTTTTTAGTTGAGAGAAAAGTTGTCTAGTTAATTAATTAATTCTAAGCGTGTAGGTTTCCTAATTGTAATAGGCTGTTCAATTCTCTCTCCTATAAAAAAGGTAGAGGTTCGAAACATGCCTAAGGAGTCCCACATATTTTTTCCTGCACGTATCATTGTTAGAGCTCCCACTTTATTTCTCTTTCTCAACTATTCTTACGTATATCTTCCGATTGAATTGTTAAAAGAATTAAATATTAATTGGACTAAATAATATTTAATTCATAATACTAAAAGTGACTAAATATCAATTAGATTAAACATATTTAATTCATAAAGTTGAAGGAGAGTTCTATTTGATAGAATTAATTAAGTAGAACAAATTAGATTTATTATACTTAATTAAGATGTATTTATAATTAAATAAAGTTGATATTTTCTTGAGTGCAATTTGGAATTAAAATGTATTCAAGAAATTTGAAATAAAATAATAATAAACATTTGTACTTTAAGAGAATGAGGGTGGCTCCCCATTCCTTATAATGTGTATAAAGCAATTTATTATTATTGTTGTATCTTTTTTAATTAATAAGGGGTATTGGTCCTGGTAGGACTAAAATTTATCAATGAGGAAGACTTTCATTATGATTGAGAAACTAGTTTAGAACTAGTATAAATACATTCTCCTCCAAAATTTATACACCAGTTTCAAGATTCAGTATTACCAGTTTATTTCTCTATGAAGGAATTTCCTAGTCTTACTCTTCGGTAGATCTAATCGTTATTTCGGAAAAGAAGAAATAACGTGGATATCTAAAGTCAAGGATTATCACTGCTAGGCTGGAAGATCTGTAAGTTCTAACTCAGGTTTGTTGCTTTTGTTATATTCGTTATTTTGTCATAATCAGGAAAGATCTGTTTTAATTTGAAAATTTTAAACTTCCGCTAATGTACTTTTGATATATGTGTTTGTCTCTATTTAATCCAACAATCACACATAATGTATATGAAATGGAGAAGGATGAGAGAGTTTGTATTGAATACTGATAAGAATAATATGTCGATACAGAACATGTATTCTCTACAACTGTCTCTCTTTCTCTACTCTATGCGTGAATGCCCTCTCACTATTTCTTACAATGCTTACGATTTCTAGACTCAACCTCCAAACTTTATAGGTCGGTCTGGGGGTTAAGCCTTTCTACAATGGGATTGTTTAAAGATAAATGAGTCCTAACATTAAATTGGTTCAGCCTAATAATTAAATTAAATACAACACATATACAAATAATTAAAACATGATTGGACACCATAAAATATTCTCCAACAATCTCCCTCTTGATATTCAAACTTGTTTACTCAGCATTGCAGCGCGGATATGTTTGTGTTTGTTTTGCATATGCAGTGTAGAGGAGAACATAAATGAGTTTTGTTTGAGTTACTCCTCTTTTGTCTTGATCTTCAGTGCAGCTCATCTTTCTTTGTCTTCTTGGAAAAGCTTTCTGAAGAAAACATTACAATCTCCCCTTTGATGATGTTCTTAGATATTTGTTCTTTGATGTCAGGGGTTGAGGGATCTTCAAAATCTTGCTTTTAATCTCTGCCTTTCAGAGGATGCTCTTGATCGTCTTGAATGGAGTCTGATGGTGCCTCAAGAATGAATGTTCTTGATGAGTTCCAGGCGCACACAAGATTAATCTTCGGTATTTGATCATCTAATCTCTGTGTCCCCCAGAATGTAGCCTTGTTAGACTATTAGATGTGAGAGATCTTGAGGAATACTTGTCGGTGGCACAACAGAAAGTGATTATTGACTTGTGAGTATAGCTGACTGTTTGATTTGAAGCTGACTTCGCAGTTTTGATGAGTTGGAGAGTAAAGAGCCGTCAATATTTGAGGTGGAGGATCGAAGTATCCGAGAATGATTTTTGAGAGTAAACAGCACTTGGACCACTCTCCCCTCATGATGACCCGATAAATCGGGACGTCATGCCCTTATTCATCCTTTTATTCTAGGTAACAAAACAAAACAAAACAAACAAAACAAAAGGTAAAGGTAAACACTGGAGACACATGGTGTTTCGTTAGCACAACATCAATGTAAACACTAATGTGTGGCATGTATGTAATGATAGAAGCGTTACAACTTTAACAGGACTTCCAACCAATCATTATGAAGCATCTGAAGTATATGTCACTCTGGTTGTTATGGCATGATCGCTAGGATTAGTATACATAGATGTAGCCCCTGAGGGTTGCGTAGACGTCAGTTATCATCACTATAAAGATGAACTCTGAAGTGATGGGCTGAACATGTTGGTGATTTCTATGTTGAAATCATGAATTTTTTTGTTTATTTGGACCCTAAGATAGTTGCCTTTGAAGCATCTTGAGGTTTATCTTTGACAACTTTTGACTTTGCAACCCATTTTTTATTATTTGCAGGTGTTGGAGATTTTTCAGCGCAGGTGAATGATGGAACATGTTTTTGCGAAGTAAAGACTTTCTCCCTTGATAAATGTTTCAAATGTTTGGCTGAATAAACCTTTAAGAGATAAGTTAGCCAAAACCATCATAAATAGTATAGGTTGAGGCCTTAAATCTCTTATATTCAGATTTGCCATCATTCACATCACAATTAGGTTTAGAAGTCTTAGCTTTTTGATTATGTTTCTTAGGTGTGCTAATTTCAGCACTAGAATGAGAAAAAACGGATCTAGAGTCATCAGAAGAAGACTGAGATGAATAATGTGTGGCAGAGCTAAATGATTGAACTTAAACTTTCTTTAAAAGTTCTTGAAAAAAATCCAATTTTGGTCCCATTACTATTATACCACTTCCACATTTAGTCCCTTACTTTCAGATTGTCCACATTTAGTCCGTGACTATTATCCTCTCACCACCCCACATCCTTTTGGCCAAAATTCCGGCAAATTTAGTCCACTTATCAGCCTCAGAATCAGTCTTTGCATTAAATTTTATATAAGGTTGGGTTTTTCATATCAGTCTTTGCATTAAATTTGGTTTTTCATACCTAAAATATGCATTAAATTTGCCGGAATTTTGGACGGAAGGACGAGGGGTGGTGAGGGGATAATGGTCACGAACAAAATGTGGATAATCTGAAAGTAAGGGACTAAATGTGGAAGTGGTATAATAGTCACGGGACCAAAAGTGAAATTTTTTCAAAGTTCTTTTTGAAACAGGACAGGTGATTGTATCTGTATGTGGCGTACTTTTGAGAAGAGAAATCTCATTTAAAAGTTGTTTTTTCTGTTTTGAAAAACTCTCTTTCAGTTTATGGGTGACCTTTGGAATGTAAACATTTTCAGTTTTAGGTTTTTTCAGAAACAGGTTCTTCCCCTTCAGACACAAACTCCGAACCACTTGTTGGAGGAAAAAGTGATGCATAGTCATCAGACAGAGAAATTTTTCTTGTCTTATAACTAGCATTCAGTTTAGTGTAGTCAAAACAGATCTCATCCGATTATTTTCTCTCTTTTCTTTTTCTTTGGCATCAATTTCTGATGCTCCCACGAAGGACATAAGTTTCATCATACCCAAGCCCATGTATCGAATGCCATACAACTGAGCGTAGTTGACTTTCTTCAAGTTGCATGAGTTTCGGAAACCTAATCCTTCCTTGGGATTGTAGAAAGTTGTGTATTTTGGCTGGTTTAAGAAAATGGTTTGATTTGTTTGACCTCTCTTAGCAAGTAAGTCCTCCTACTTCTTAAGCATAGAATATAATTCGCAACGTTTAGTTTGAAAATGTTAAAATTTGATTGTTGTAGTGATACATTCATGATCAGAAGCTTTCAACCGCTTAGTTAAGTCACACACTTGTACTTCTGAGTTTTATAATTTTGACTTAAGTTTTGTATTTTCATTTTGTACATTAGTTAAACGAACCATTAGGAAAGATTGTTCAAGCAAGTGTTTACTCAGGACACTTTCATTATTGGCTAGACAGGCTTCTAAATCCTTATTAATTATACATTCATCACTCAAGGAAGATGTTTTATCCTGCAATGCACATATTTGAGTAGTGAAAATAGGAACATTCTACAGCAGAATATGATGGTGAGTTATGATCTGGCTCACAACACTCTTTCTTTCGAGCCAAAATCTACATGTGCTACTTAATTAATTACGCATATTGTCATTGCTCGTCGCACATCACTACTAAATTATTCACCCCTCTACACGTACCTTGGCCACCACAAATAACTTACTTTGCACTAGGCGTGGACTCGGGCCGCCGATTTGTATGACATGGGCCCGGGACCGGCCCGAGGGTTGGACGGGTCCGGTTCGGGCCGGGCCACCCGTCCGGTCGGGCCGGGCCGGTTAAAGTTTTTTTTTATAATTTATATTTTATAGTTTATAGTTTTATACAAGTATTAAAAACAAACTTCAAGTGCATTTATTTGAAATGAAATAGGAACTACATTTGAAAATTAAAATAAACTTTAAGAGACAAACATTTTGAAAATTGTAATCAATAGGAACTTCCCGCACCTCCCGATCCTTTGGCTTTGTCACATGACTTCATATGCTTCATTGTCATCCCGTATCCGCCTGAAACCCCCATGCTACATTTTTCCCGCACCATTTGCAAGTTGCGTACCACATCCCGGTCTTCGGGTCCTTCTGCTTATCAAAATTATACCGTATAATGGCATCTTGATTTTCCATCTTAACTTCTTAAGTATAAAGTAGATATATAAATAATAAATATAATATATTGGAGAATAAGAGAATTAGAGAGTAGAGAGTTAAGAATAGGATTTAGGAAGAATTGGAGAAGAGATGAAAAAATGTTTAAGATTAGGAGTATTTATATGTTTTTTTACCCACCCCCACCCCCCAACCCCCACCCCACCCCCCGGACCGCCCCTGCACCCCACCCAACGGCTATATAGCCGTTTGGGTTGTCCCCAGACCACCCCCAAGGCCATAACGGCTAGTTTGGGGCCCAACATTTTTTTTTAAAATTGGATCGTTGGACCTGGGCCAGGTCAACTTTTTCAGGAACCGTACCCGCCCCGCCCCTCCCCACCGGTTCGGGTCTACACTCGGTCCCGGACCGCCCGACCGGGCCGGTCCCGGGCCCGCACAGTAGCGGGCCGGGCCGGGTCACGGGCCGGGTGGCCCGAACCGAATCCAACACTATTTTGCACGTATAATATATATATATCCCACTATATTACACTCCCTTCGTCCCTTAAAATTTTGCCACCATTCATTTTTTCATGTTCCAAAAAACTTTTTTCATTTTCTCTTTTAATCAATTATTTTGTGGTTCCGTTGTTTCTCTCTCCTTTGCACAAACTGTTGGAAAATATTTCATTTAAATGCCTTTGGATCATAAATACTGTATAATTTGATATATATTGGGGACATTTGTGTCTTACCATTAAGTTTGTCATATGACAGATTTGGTCCCTGTATTTATGTGTAGTTAACGTATGATGGGTATGTTTTAATATTAAATACTACGTAATACATAATGACCATTTCTCCTCTTCCAAACATCGGAGTATCTTTTTATACTCCCAAAAACTAAAAAGTGAAAACAAGGCTTCTAAGGTCAAATATTATACCTCGTATATGCCGACAATCTAAATGTAGAAGCTTCAACTCAATCCTTAAATTATTCACCCCTCTACACGTACCCTGGCCACCACAAATAACTTACTTTGCACGTATAATATATATATATATATATCCCACTATATTATACTTCCTCCGTTCTTAAATAAATGTAACTGTCAACATTTCACACTTGGTGAGACACAACTTTGATCATTAATATAAATGATTTTGTATTAATAAAAAAAATTAAAATTAGATTATGAAAATTTACAATGAGACAAGTTTAACAATATTTTTTTCATAAAATAATATTATTACATTAATAAATAAAACGTAGTCAAAGTAGAACATGTGAATAGTGTAAAAGTCAAAGTGTTGCATTTATTTAAGAACGGAGGTAATACGTAGTATATCATGTACAATGTACTACTGGTTCGGTCCCTTTTTATTTAGTCAAATACTCCATCCGTCCTTTATAACTTTGTCAACTTTCTTTTTTTGGTTGTCCCAAAAACTTTGCCACGTTTTCTTTTAATCGATCAATTTGTGGCTCCTGTTATTTTTCTCTCCTCTGCACAAATATCTACCACACACTTTTTACTTTATTATTCTACGTGGCGGTCAAACTTAGCAAATCTTTAAGGGAGGGAGGGAGTACTATTTTTCAAGTCAAAATTATTTAACTTTGATCGATTATATATTTCTACCCGGTAATATTGATAATATGTAAATTATATAAAAATGTTCTTTGTTGAAAATATTATCAAAAAAGTATAAACTTATTAACTTTTACATAAATATACGGAGTATTAGTTAAAATAATGGATCAAAGTTTATCAACTTTGACTGGAAAAGTCAAAATTGGCTAAATATTAAAGAATGACCGATGTAGTAGTATATAACTATATACTACTCCCTCCGTCCCTTAAAATTTTGCCAAGTTTGACTTGCACGATGATTAATAAAGTGAAAACTATGTGGCTGAGAGTTTTGCAGAGGATAGAGAATTAACTGAAACCACAAATTCTTTATTTAAAAGGGAAATTGACAAAGTTAGTGGGACATCCCAAAAAGAAAAGTTGACAAAGTTTTAAGGGACGGAGGGAATACTATATATGTTACCTACATTTTGGGGTTTGCTATTCCTCCTCGACACTACAAGAAATCCGGAAATTACTGTCAAATTTTTGTGTCCGATTTAAAATCGGATGGTAATTAGTGTCGGATTTAATGTCGGATGGTCATCTGCCAACAATTGGCGTCCGATTAAAGCCGCCACTGTTTGGTGACGGAAAGCGTGACAGATAAGTGATAGATACTGATTAGTGGCAGACAGAAGTGACGGAATTATCCGTCAATAATTAGAGACGGATATATCCGTCACTAAAGTCCGTCACTAAATTTCAACTTTATATCCCTACCCATACCAGCGACACATCATTCCACCACACACATATATTATCCTTATCTCTCTATCAAAATAGATTTGGACGGCATTTCAAGGTTAGAGCTCTTACTTTTAATTATTATTTATAATTTTCTTATATTAATTAATTGATTATATATAATATGATGTTATTCTTAAATATTTAAACTAAAAATATGATTTCACATTTTTTTTCTTGCATACACAAAAATATTGATTTCTTAATCCTTTTATTTGAAGAAAGTATCTTTTATTAGCCTTTTGTAATGATTAATTAATTATATGTATAAATGAATGATTATTAGTCATCGTTTTGATTGTTTTAACATAGATTTAGGTTATATTGAAAAAAATTGGCCCATTCTTTAATGATATAAAAACATTCACATTATTTTAGTGTGATGAACTTTAAATTTAATGTTAGGTTAAGATGTTGAGTATGAAAAAACAATCTACTTCTTTGAATATATTCGTAAATGTGTATGGTGTTTGTTTTTAAAAATTATAGATTTGATGCCCTAGTTTGAGAAATTAAAGTAATAAATATAAATGAAGTTTTTAATTTTTTGTTGAGAAAGATAAACAAAAGTGGTGGATGTTTCATTTAGTATTTAAATACAATATTTAGGTGTTTGTGAATAAAATGACATAGTTCTTTAAGTATTTATTGTGATTCCGTCAACAAAAGTATTTAATGATATGAATAAATAACATTATTTATTATTATATCTTCTATAGGTTTCTAAATGAGTCACGATAGATCATGGATGTACAAAAGGCTTGCAAGACGAGAGGTTCTAAATGAAGATTTCAAGGAAGGAGTTACCGAGTTTATTCAAGCGACGGTAGACTTATATCCAAGCGGTGTTATTGCATGTCCTTGTAGAAAGTGCAAGAATAAAAAGTGGTTGACATGGGAGATTGTTAGACAACATTTATTTGAAAAAGGCTTTGTGGAAGACTATTATGTATGGGCAGCACACGGAGAGCCAAACAATTCAAATGGTTTAGTTTATTTGGATGAGAGTAGCTCATCTCGTGGTAATACATCTGGAGCGCAATATGATTCGTACAAATCAATGCTTGAAGATGCTATGAGGAATGAACTCCCAATGGGATTTGACCACAATGACGCTGGAGAGGACGAACCTTGTCCAGTCACAACAGAGATGTACGAAATGTTAGATACGATGAGTCAACCATGTTTTGATGGCTGACCAATGACGCAATTGAGTGCAATGACAGAGATGTTGAATTTAAAGAAAGAGATGAGTTTATCAGAAGGTGCAACTGATAGAATTTCTCAATTCATAAATAGGTTTTTCCCATCAAACATTCCAAACAAACCAATTCTTAATTTCAAAAAAATTAAAAGAAAACTATCTGTGTTAGGAATGAGCCATCAATCCATTGATTGTTGTCCGAAAGGGTGCATGATTTATTGGAGAGCAAATAGTGAGCTACTGAAGTGTAAATTTTGCTCTACTGCAAGGTATGACATTAGCAAGCAGACAAATAAGCGTATTCCTCTTGCAAAAATGGAGTACTTTCCTCTTACTCCTAGATTGCAACGACTTTATGCTTCAGCTACTACATCGGATGATATGAGGTGGCACAAAAATCACCGCAGGAAGGAAGGAGTAATGTGTCACCCATCAGATGCAAAGGCGTGGATTCATGTCAACAATCTTTATCCGAAATTTGCTGAAGATCCAAGAAATGTTCAGCAAATTAATATTCCAGTCCCTTTAAAGTTGTTCTCGTTGAGAGCATGGTCTAATAAAAGATACTAAATTAAGCTAGCCACACAAGATATTGTGTACAGGTCTGCATTAGAATAGAAATAATTCACTTTGTATTGAATATAAGACTGCTTTTTGATGTGGAAAGATTTTACACTATAAAAGTTGAAAGCAGTGGTGCTTGCTTCCTCAACCAGGTCTGGTGATTACACTATTATAGACTCTTCTAGTCTAAACATGGTATGCTATGCTTGCCTAGCTTAGTTCCTCTTTTCTGCAGAACTTGTCCTAGTATATATTTTAAGGCAAAATCTGTAAAAAGTGGCATATGGCAGCTTCTATTGTTATTTTTGTGTGTAGATTTACTTAAGTTTGTTGTTTTTTCTTGTATAGGATGCTTTGAGTAAATTGTATAATGCTTGTCAAGATGATTTCCAACAATAGTCTCAGCCTTCAAGTCAAGAAGAAAGTTCAACAACACCCAAGATCTCACCAGCTAAATTGTCTTCCAAATACTTGTAAGTTGTTGGGTGCAAAAAGATGAGAGTTGGTGGACTTGGCAGCTATTCAGAAGCATTCCTTCATCATGTAAATGAGTCAAATACAGAACGTTTGTCTTCAAGAACCCGCCGGATGCGTGAATTTTGTGTTTATTGGGATGCACGCATGAGGGAGGTGTTAATTTCAGAGGGTGATGAAGCCCCCCCCCCCCCCCCCCAATAATCCCAATTGTAGAAGATCTTGTTCAAGACGAGGAACCCGATTCACAACTTTGAACAAACATGGCTTCCATTTTTAAAATCAATAGGGATTGATGCGCCCACTTTCTTTGCAACATCGGAATCATCTAGAGACTCGGCAGACAGTCTTGATGAATCATTTTCTCGTTAGTTTGTCATTAGATTTGTGTTAAGTTTAATTTTAGTATCTTGTTTCTATTTCAAGTTGTTAAATTTCACTATGAATTCATGAATGATGAATATTTTTATTTCTTAGCAAGTTTTGGACCAAGGTATGTAATATTTTGCGTTGAATATGGTTGCTATGTGTTTTGTTTATTAGTCTCCAGATTTTATTATTACATTTTTAGTATACAGATTTTTTTAAATTATTTAATTGAATTTATATTGTTGAACATGTATATGTATATGTTATTTAAAAGATTTTATTTATAAGAACTTAAATCAATGATGGACATTAGTAGTGGACTGCAGACCTACGTTTTTTGGTATACAAAATTACGAATTTTAAAAAGAATTTGTATTTACATATTTTATTAAATAAAAATCCTAGTTTCACAAAAATAAATCATTGACGGATATTAGTGGAGGAATATCCAACACAAACATTAGTGACGGAATAGTTGACACTAAATTCCGTGTCTGATTTGCGTCTACCGAGCCTATCCGACGCTAATTTGATTAATGTCCAGATTTTAGAGACGACAGAATCCGCCACTAAAATCCGACATCAAAGCGTTTACTGACAGATTTAGAGTCGGAAAATCCGACAGTAAAACGCGAAAATTCTTGTAGTGCGATCATGAATTTGGATTACACACATTTGAGTATATGGCATATACTACTCTCTCCGTCCCTTGAAATTTTGCAAAGTTTGACTGACGCGAGAATTAATAAAGTAAAAACTGTGTGATTGAGGTTTGTACAGAGGAGAGCGAATTAACAGGAACCATAAATATTCTTTACTTAAAAGGGAAAGTCACAAAGTTAATGGGACATCCAAAAAATGGAAACTTCACAAATCACATTCATGGGTGCACCTGGCTCCCTTTCATTATTATGCGTGATTATATATCTACGTACAACATTTTCCTATAATTAATTAGGTAACGGCCTGAATAAGACTTGAATTCAGTATTCACAAAACTTCTAAATATGAATTCATGTTTTACATTCACTAAGCTAGTATGCCTCCTAAGGGACGGATCTAGCTTTCGTATTTAGGAGAGCAAAATTTAAGGGAAATTTACGATATTCATCCCGTAACTTTCGGTAGTTATCATTATTAGTCCCGTAACTTTAGTCACTTGCAAATTTGGTCCTCTAACAAATTAATATTTGCGATTTAAGAACTTTTCCTCTGAAAAGTACACTTTCCGGCAATAGCATACCAGAAAAGATGTCGCCGGCGTCGAACTTTTCCGCCGGAAAGTGTACTTTCCGGTGGGAAAGTCCTTAAATTACAAAGATTTATTAGTTACAGGACCAAACTTGTTAGTGCTTAAAGTTACAGGACCAAAAACGATAACAGTCGAAAGTTATAGGACTAGAATTGTAAATCTCCCAAAATTTAATTAAAATAATATACTACCTCCGTCCCTCTGTTATTGTCCCATTACGGTTTACGATGCTTGACTGACGATAAAGTAAACAGATCTCTGTCCGCACTAGAATTATTTTTAGGAAAAAAAAATTGCATATTCAGAAACTACATTAAAAGGTTTACAAAGTCGCAAAAACCAGAATCAAATTTGATAAAAATTTGATAAATAAAGTAAGAGATTAAGAGTTATTTGTGTTGACCAAGTGAATAGGAAATGGGACAATAATAGGGGGACGGAGGGAGTATATCGTAACAAAAGAAAAGGTCAAAATGTAATAGGAGTATACTGTGTAGTAGTTATTTCCAACAAAATTTATTTTAAGGTATACAATAACATACGAAGTATATTGCAAGTTAGGAACAAAAAATCAAAGATGATGTTCACAATCAGATCTGATTAAGTTTTTCCCAAAATATTATTTAAGAAAAAATCTCACAAATATTACTCTTGGGAAAGTGATGTACAAAAATGTGGTTTTGTAATTTTTAGTAACTATAATTGTGTTCAAAGTTACTATGATAGAAACTTTGAACACACAATTGTATTCAATAAAAGTTATTAAGTCACATTTTTGTCCATGACCTTTTTCTAGTAATATTTTAGAAAAAAACTTTATTTTTTTTAATTATACTCACAGGCAGGTCCTCGCCATTTTAGGGCTTAGGCGTGAATAATATATATTTACTTAATTTAATAAAATTATAAAACTTTTACTGTAAATATTACATAAGTCTATTTCTTACTGACTATTGTAAAGAAAAATCATCAACAATATATTTGTTTGATTTTTTTAAATATTTTCATTCTGTCATCATAACTTCCATTATATTCCCAAATAGATAATCATCTTGTTAATTTTACGAATTTAATTTCAGTTATGTAACCAGAAAAGAGAAAGATATCTTCTCCCCAAATGTTGACCCCCTAAATATAAGTAAGTGTAATAATTATTTTTCCAAATTTTAATTTAATAGTATTTACTATAGTTAAAAAACGAAAGAAATCAAAACATATAAATCATAAGTTAAAATGTGATACATAGTCTATATGAACTACTACGTATTTACTATGAATGATTGTGTATTCTTTTAAACAAAAATCTGAAAATTTGAGGGTAACTCCAACTCCTAAAAATAGAAATTCAAACACTACAAAAAAACCATCGGATTGACAGTGATTTTGGTAGGGATTTGACAGAAATTTTGGCAGGGAAATGTCAAATCTGTGTCAAAAACACTTTGGCACGAGCTATTTGGCACGAAAAATAGGTAAGTCCGTGCCAAATTTTGTGTCAATCACGTAGTTTTTTTGTAGTGAAAGTGACATGCAGTTTAATACTCTATACTCTGTATGAAAACAAAATAGACAATTCTCATAAACTTTTGACTCAAAAGCTGTAATTTAGAAATTTATCTCTTTGGAGGAATGTTGGACACAACTTTAAGGTATTAACTTTAAGGTATTAACTTTACAAAATACTTAATTTAATAAAATTATAAACTTTTACTGTAAATATTACATAAGTCCATTTCTTACCGACTATTATATTGTAAAGAAAAATCATCAACAATACATTTGTTTGATTTTTTTAAATATTTTCATCCTGTCATCATAACTTCCATTATATTCCCAAATAGATAATCATCTTGTTAATTTTACGAATTTAATTTTAGTTATGTAACCAGAAAAGAGAAAGATATCTTCTCCCCAAATGTTGACCCCCTAAATATAAGTAAGTGTAATAATTATTTTTCCAAATTTTAATTTAATATTTACTATAGTTAAAAAACGAAAGAAATCAAAAAATATAAATCATAAGTTAAAATGTGATACATAGTCTATATGAACTACTACGTATTTATTATGAATGATTGTGTATTCTTTTAAACAAAAATCTGAAAATTTGAGGGCAACTCCAACTCCTAAAAATAGAAATTCAAAGTGACATGCAGTTTAATACTCTATACTCTATATGAAAACAAAATACGACAATTCTCATAAACTTTTGACTCAAAAGCTGTAATTTAGAAATTTATCTCTTTGGAGGAATGTTGGACACAACTTTAAGGTATTAACTTTAATTTACTCTTTTATAATAATATATTTGTCTCTTCTTCGAGAGTTTTTTTGTTTAATGTGAACTATTTTAATGATTCACTTTTTATACTACGGGGTAGTATATAAAAAAAATATAATAATGAACTTCTACAATGATTTTGTTTTAACTACGGCGAGGGGCGTATCCATTGTACGTGGAGACAGTGGGGACAGTTTCCCCCCTCAACCCCAACTGTACCCCTATATATAACCTAAAATTTTAATAGGAAGTTTCTCAAAATAGGAGTTTTTTTTTTACCCGGTAGGCAAACCACCAAAATCAGTGGGGAGATGCCGGGGAACATCTACCGGATTTTATAAATAATCAAATCAAGATACACATGGTGTGCAAAAGCCGAACCACAGCAATGTGAAAATGCATACAATTTAGTAAAGCAAAAAAAAATTAGAAAATGTAAGACAATTCCTCAGCATCCAAAGCAATAGCTCCTTTCAGCTGTATTGGACTATTCCCATTTGCCTGCCAAACAAATCTGGTCTCCAAGCCCAATTGGGCCACCAGTCTCGCCGCATGATTGACTTGGGCCGGGATAACCGAAACCTTCAGCCCAATCCCGCAATCCACCTGTCCGTTTCTAGAAAAATCCGTTTCTATCACCACTTTAGGCAACTGAAGAGTCTTCGTCCAGATACACGCTATCTCCATCACTTCAGCTTCGTCTACCCCTGAGCCGCTGAGTGGGAATCCTTCCGCAGCTACCACCATTCCAGCATGGTCTCGAAGCAAGAATCCAGCCGCAGATTTACCATTTCCGCGATGAATCGCTACATTCAACTTCTGTATCCCCTCCGCCGGTTTCTTCCATCTACGAACTTGTGGCTTCTTCCTCCCAAAAGAATCAGGTAAGAAACCTAATTTCTTTAGTCTATCATTTCCTTGCAGATTAGAGTTTGCATGACACCATTCTAACATAAATCTTCTGATTTGATGAATCAATTTCTCCAATCTCGGTTCCTCCTCTTTTATGACCACATCCCAGTAAGTTTTCCAGATGTGCCAGGCTATAACTCCTGGTAAGACCAT